GAAATACAAAGAAGCATTACGAGTTATTAGACCTACTTGATAATTGGTACCACACTAAATTTACTACATTACAACATAATAGAGCGCTGCAAACGAGACTTTACCATATTCGCCAAGCAATCACTATCTTTGTTTTGAAAGAATAGTATCGTGATGCATCTTTAGATGCCTGCATTTCGAAAGATTTTCTCAACTTCTCTGTAGACCTGAAATTTGAAAAAAAAAAAAAAATCATCATAAAACAAAGGGACAAACTAAAGCTCTAGAATTAAATGCAGCAACAGCCAGGCTTCTCAAGAAGCAGTGGCTATTAAATAATAAAACAGGACATCAGTTTGAAATTATGTAATTTACAACTAGAACCGCAATATTTTGACCTTCTACAACTTGTTGGCACCTCCTTGTGCGTCGTTCCTTGGCTCAGTAGGCCCCAATTTTGGTCATAGTGGAGCGATATGATTGAGCGGGCTAGCACCCATCACAAGGTCTGTTCATATAAGGCAGGGCGGACCAGTGCAATAAGAGTATTATAGCCAGGGAGGACACCGCAGCAGCTGCAGCACACCAGAAAACCGTCATCTTTTGTATTTGTTATTTTGTGCGATTGTATTCATTGGTGTATGGGGATGCTGAGGACTGTATGGAGTCCTGTACTGTACTGTGTTTTTTTTCTGCTTCAACAAAGACTTGTTGCTTTATCGAGCCCTAATTTCTCCTTATGGCAGACATGGTGCAGTAGCAAGCAGTACTGCTTCTCGTGCTAAGTAACGGTCAAGGATTCGATTCCGTCAATGAGTCAATCAATCGCTCCACGATTTGTTCATTCGTTTCGACGGTAAACTGGTACTCGTAGCGTATGCCAGAAGGTCAAAATCGCCATCAGTTTGCCTCTAAGCAGTCCTCAAAAGAGGAAGCCACTAACAACTTGGTCAGCAGGTAGTTACTCTTGACAAAAAAGTGCAACCACTTTTACTATTTCTGATTATTTCGGCTTCTCGTCAGAGTGAAGGTATTTTGAATATTGATTTTGTGATTTGCACAAAATAAAAATTAACACAAAATTAAATAACTGGCTAGCGCACCGACTGCCAGTGCGAAGATGCGTTTTTTCCACAATGCTCTGCAGATTTTTGCCGCTAACGGCACTGTTTTTTTCCGGCATATGGTTTCTAGCTAAAAGAATTGAGACTGGCCACCACGGCTGTGAAAAAACATTCCCTTAAAATTTCAGCTTTCCAGCTCTTCAGGTTCCTGAGTTAGCAACTTTTCCGCAAAGAATTTTAACGAGCCCGTACATGGGAAAAAGCAAATCTCGGGGCTGGGTTTGAACTCACTGAGATTCACAAGGGACATTCCCTTAAAATTTCAGCCTTCTAGCTCTTCTGATTCTCGAGTTAGCGGCTCACCTGCTAATAAACTTTGGTGGGCCCGCAAATGCATGTAGATTAAGTCCCCAAAATTACAGCCCTGTAGCTTTTGTAGGTCTCAAGATGAAAAATCGGTACAGACGAACACAGAGATACACACACGCACACAGACAACCCCTTATCAATATGCGTTTTCTGCACTGCATAGATGCAGGAAACGCGTAAAAACTGCTATAAAATTTCATAAAAAATAACGAATAGATTTTTATGCAAAAGAAACAAACTCCCAACTGATTAAATGAATTTCGTGATTCCTGAAACACTTACTTCCTCCGGTGCACCGCATGCTGACACTTCTCGAACAAGATCTTGCGTCCTGTAATGCTCAACTATTGGTAGGGTTTGTGTACAGTACGTTTTAATCCGTTTGCGCAGCGATTCTTCGTTGTCGTCCGATCGCCCCTCATTTCGATTTAAACATCTTCTTACACAAATCTAAATTTTATTGAAATTTCGAAATGTTTATTTTATTAAAATTTTAAAATTAAAATCAGACATTTTATTAAAATTTTAAAATTTATTCGTCAAAGAGAATTAACGACGAGAAAACTGAAAAGTATAAATAATGAGTTTTGTAAAGCAAACTTCCTCTGGGCAATGAAGATACAGGACGAAAAGGACTTTTGCTTTTGAAGCCATTTCACGTTCCCATCCTTCCAGGTTATCCTGATTACGCGGGAAACCATCGATCAAGAATGCTTTTGATGACAAAGATGCGTTCATTGCCTGCAGTAACCAATTTCAGTTTTTCAACTCATTCACCTTAAGATGCTTTGGATAGATGTCATCATACTGTTACAACTGGTCATCGCTATTGGCTTGTAACGAGGGGAAGGGATACCGGCGACCTGTGCGACTGTGGGACTGGCTGTCGCCCAAACTAATAAACAATCCCTTATTAGTAAAGAAGCGCAGAAGCAAAAGGTCAAAAAAATAGCGAAAAACCCGGCACCAGCAGCTTCAAGCTGCTGTCGCAAAATTTCTGAAGCACAAAGAACAAAACCACATTTCATTCTAACCACCACATTAAATATCACGGAGGAGGAAGTCGAGTCAAGGGACGGGACATTTGCATATCACGAGGAATCGAAGGGCAACTAGGCAAGGTGAAGAGGTTTAGCCAGCAACTTCGTTTTCTTGCTGCTAGCATCTTCTTCCATTTGCAACACGCTTGCTTCTAAGTAGTCATCGAAAGAGGAAACAACCGGTAATTTTGCCCTCAACTGTGATTGCTGTTGGCGCTTACTACTGCCTGGGCTTCTTCTTCTTTTGAAAGTCTCAGTTCCTCAAAAGAGTTAAGAACTGATGGTATCATTGCTATTTTCGTAATTTGTAAGCTTACAACTATTTCAGCGTTGAAAATTTGATTCTGTTCTCTTACAACCGATTCTGCGAATCCTCTTACTCTTTTAACTCAAAAATTATCAGTTATGACGGGACCATATTTCATAAGATTGATCAGTAGCATGAGGAAACCAATCTGTGTTTCATCCCGTAGCTGTAAACAGAGACACAGCAGAGTGACTGTGTAAGACTGGGAATCGCCAGTACAGCCTTCTATCCGCTACGTATATGAGTGAGCGTGTTCATTTGCGATCAACTTTGTGTCCTTAGTTTCAC